TACATTCTAAAAAGCAAAATAAAACCAAACAAAATAAAGCTTTCTGTTCTCTCAGCTTTTTCAGGTACACAAGTCAGAGGAAGGATTTCTTTTCTTCATCACTATTCAGTTCAGTTCATTAACATACCATCATTCTGTCCATTTACCTCTTAGAGTAGATTATAAACATGATTATCATAAACTATTACATTCCCACAAGCATAATGCAGTAGGCAGAACAAAAACCTTATTTTAAATGAGGAACTAATAATCCTGAGGTAAAGTGCACAGAGATAAAAAAAATACCATTTGCTCTACAGCCTGACAGAATAAGCCAACCACTCCATTTATGGGGAATTTCAGAATGTTCAGGACTGGTAGCATGAATGACAGCAAATGAAAAACCGTCAAACACCAAGGTAGCAAATGACAGAGCAGCCTGGAAGGAGGGTGTCAGAGCAGAGAGAGGACATCCTGACAAAGCAGTAGTATGTTTCCCCTTCTGCTTCTTCACATCTCCCAATTCCTATGGCAATTAAGAAAATTACATTTATTAAGTTACTTAATATCCAGAAAACTTATCAAACCAAATATTCTTCATGAAAACTGTCAGAAAGCAGAACTGAACCATCTCAATAATGAAACTCAAGGTGAGATCCAAGTTCTAATGTTGTAACCAAGCACAAACCCGGGGTCACTTCTAAGAGGGACAACCTGTATCCTTTGCTCCAGCCTGCTGCACACTGTGCAAGTCACACAGGACTGGAATGCAGGTGACAAGAGCTGAAGTGCAGCTACTCATGTGCATCGTTAGTCCAGATATTCTGTGCAAAAAAACCAACTTTTTTTCCCCAAGTACTTGGTCTATGCACTCACTTGATTGTTTTACTTTGTGCATTCAGGTGTGCTTGGGCATTTAAGAGAACAAAATCTACATTCTCAAGTCCAGATTTCTTTGTTCTCTCCTCAAACTCTCACAAGCAAGAAAGGATTTCACACGCACAGCCTTACAAAATCCAGAACCCACCACGTTTCTCCCTAAGTTATGCACACAAACGCCAACATTTCTCTACATCTCAAGCCTGCACTCTTTAAAGTGAATTAATTAGAGAAGGACTCAAAGCAGCCTAGTAACAAGGGATCTTAGGCAAGACCTCCAATGGCTGGGGGGAGCTGACAGGAGTCAGCCTGGTCTCTGCTAGAACAGCAAGCTGCAGCACCAATTCCAAAGCAGAATGTGGAGAAATACGATCTATTTATGAGTCACTGACTCACATGGTCAAATTTCTGAAGGAAAAAAAAGAAAGAAAAGGCTGGGGTTCCAAGGCAAAACGGAGGCTAAATATACACATTGGATTCAGCTGGCCGGCTCTGCTCTTCACAGCTGACTGATCAGCAGCCACAGCATCAAGCCCAGCACCTTCAGCTGTGCCCTGGGAACTCCCCTGTTCCCCACAGGGCCAACTCCTGGAAGGAACAAAGGGAAATGCCAACGCTTGGAGCCCAGACGGTAGCTCCAGGCCTACCCTAAGGCTTGATGAAGGCACCAGGGGCTCATCCCGGCCTGCAGACCCGCTGGGGACCCGGCAGCAGCAACGCTCAGGACAGCAGAGGAGAAGGACACGGCAGGGAGGCTCCTCTGGGATGCACCATGATCCTCTCAGGCCCGTTCTCCGCAGGCCGTGGCGAACTCACCCCCTTTCCCCTCATCCAAACCTTCTCCGAGCGCTCCCCCCACCACCAAAGTCTTATAACAGACACTTTATCTTCCTTCAAGTCACCATCTCCGGGGCCTTGGAGCTACTTGGAGGCAGCTTTAGGGAATCCGCGGCCTTTCCCGGGGCAGGACGCCCTGCAGCCCTGAGGGGCCGGGCTGAAGCCCCTCAG